ATCAAACTCACAAACTCGTGCTTGCCAGGGAAGGCGCTTACACGCTAAGCTAAGCTCCAGGCAATTGGTATGATCTAAACATCATGCAGAAAAAGGGTGATAAATTGATATTTCAAAAATAAAAAAACTTTCTATAGCAAAACAGCCCTCCAAGACAAATGAACGCCCACACCCCTACAGTAAATACTGTGAATGTTTCCTCAGTACTCCACAGCCTTGCTATGTGCAGCCGCCCTTGGCCATGAGTTTGTTTGGGGGTGGGTGTTTACACCGCCTTGCTCCTTGCCAGAAATGAAACCTGACTGCTTTAACCTATCAGGGTAATCTTGTTCCCTTCCCATGGTACACTAGCGTAATAGGTTCAAAAGCCACTACCATGTTCCTGATAAAAAAAGAATAAAATGTAATCCAATTTGGAGCTTTAAATATTGGGGAATTTTAGCATAAAATGTTCCTTTCTCTTCAAGAGTGCCACTGTCAGTTCTCACAATGAGGAGCAGGATGTAAAGCCTGATCAAATCACAGCCTTTTTTACCCACCATGAGAGAAGTCAGACATGAAATGACCTTGTCATCATAAAATGCAGAGTAGAGTAAAGGGAATAAAACAGAACTTCGATATGTTTTACTCATTGAATCAACCCTGAACTACCTTTGGTCTTTTAGTCAATAAACGTCCTGTTCTGAGTTGGGTTTTCATTTACCTGCAAAGTAAAAAATTCTTACTGATATACACCATGGCTAAACTCAAAACACAAACTGAGAAAAATATTTGCATAAGTGGTAAATATATAAGGTCCCTTATTCAAAGATGGACACATCAGTATGGAAAAGAAAACAGCCTATTTTTTTTAAAAGGTAGAATATCTGCATAGCTGGTTCATATCAAAGGAAATGAAATGACAAAAAAGCTGCGTAAGCTCTCTACAAATTAATGTAAATTAGAACACAAGGAAATAATTCATTTTTTACTTATAATACTGACAAGGATGAAAATTCTGATTTATTTAGGACTGAGGACATATAGAGAAACACTATTTTATAGCCTACTGGAGAGTATGAATTGGTGATTTTAAAAATCTACTCACAAATATTTAACTAGTCAACCAATCAATTCTACTCAAATTTTATGTTATAGAAATGACCAAGCAAATAATATACAAACACGTATATGATACCTTGCTATATTGTGTATAATGATGAAATACTGGAAACATTCCAAATACTGGAACTGGTTAAATAAACTTATGGCCCATCCAGGCAATCATTATTGTCAAATTATGGCCCATGGATTTCATAAAGGATGAGGATATTCTGTATGCTGCCAATGAAAGACATTTAAGATAAAATGAGTGAAAAAAGTGAAACTATAATGCACTATAGGTTTTGTGAGTCAGTATCAACACAGCAAGAACAGTGATTGTAAGTGGAAAACAGAATTAAGATTCAGTGTAGAATATCCCAATTCTGTCAGCTATGAATCAACGATACATATTATGGACTCACAAATACATACACAAATGTACACACAGTCATCACCATCACCAAGACATCCTGCTGATCAAGAACTAAACTGCTACTTCCTTTTTACAGCTAACTCAACCTACCTTTGACCTCTTCCATACTCAAACATTACAAGAGAAAGTGGCACATGTATTTTAAAACTACAGTAAAGCTGCCTAAACATTACCTCAGTTGGTTAGCAATACTGACAATCTTATATTGATAGTCTGTCAGTCCCAGTGACAAAATATCCCTCCAAGCAGAGAATACTTCTCTCAAACACCCTCTCTTGGTACTGACAGTCCCTTTTTAGTTTTCATTCTTTTGGTCATGAGTGTCTGTGTGTCATTTGCTGGACTAGGTGCTCCAGAGGTTTCAGACAGAAGTAAATTGTGTCAGCCTTTGAAGAACTCATGATCTACTGGGAAGAATCTGACAAGTCCACAGGTAACTAGAAACTGCCAGTCTCTCTGGAGTTTAATTTCATGCCTGCATGAGCCCAGGAGCCCCACTTCCAGCTGCCCCTGCCTGCCCGAGCCATAGCCTCACCTCACTTTCCTTGTTGTCCAGTGCCCGAGGCCTTACTGGCTTTCTTTACCCTAGTCAGGAAAAAAAAAAAGTCGATCTCTAAGTCTTTGTCCCATGCCATCTTTGCATTTCTGTCTACTGTCCAGATCACACATAACACTATGCTTTGGTCTTGAGAGTGCTGCCTGAAAATTCCCTCTTCCCTAAGCCCATAGAAAGACATTTAGGAGACAGGTTGGATGGAAAGTGACCTAGTCACTCAGAACCAGTGACCTAGCTGGCACAGTCTTGAACACCTTTCCAGTGTCTGCATAAGTCATTTCCCTTAGTAGGCTTCTCTGGAGAAGGGATTTCTAAGGGAGGGCAGGGCCTTAGTCTATCAGCTTTAAAAATAAGCACCCCATAGAATAGGAGGAAAAAAATCCAGCTTAATCTGAGCCTTGTAACAGAGAGGGGAGTGTGTGGGGAGAACAAGAGGGAGATCCAATTAATTACCCTTAGAAGCAAAGGTAAAAGTTGAGGATTCTGAGACCCATTTACAGGAGGGAATAGACCCATCATTGAACCTAGAGAATGGGAGGATTGTTTAGGGCCAGAAAAGCGTCTCAATGTTCAGATTCCTTTCCTTTTCTGGAGCTTTGGAGAGAGGAAGGTCATAGCTTGGGTTTGGAAGGTACACCTAACAGTGGGTTCAGCCTGGGAGGGGGACTGTTGTCTTGGGTCCAATTCTGGGCCCACAGCCTCCCCCCACCCTAAGGGAATAAGAGCTTCAATTCGATCTGGAAGCTGGTAGGGTTGGCAAAGGAAGGGGTGCCTCCTGTATGAGAGGCCAATCCATTATCATCACAAGGGCTGATGTCACAGACCCTACAAAGCTGGGGCCCCAAATGCAGGGTAACCCTAACCCCAACAGAGATGAAACAGATAGAGGGAGAGCTCTCCCACACAATGCCCCGGCCCTCCTCCTCCTTGCACTTCCTCAAGAGCCTTTGTCTTCTGGTCCCTTGGGCTTGAAGCCTCTCTCATTCCCCACAAATGCTGCCCATTAAATTCAAAATGAGGCCTCTGGGGAAAGGGTCTGGCGCTTTTCCTCTCTTTTCTTCCCCATCCTCATGAGCCTGGCAGCTCTGAGAAAGGTGCAAGCTGGTAACTGCTTCACATCTTTCCCTTGGTTTCTGTTTGTTTTCCCCCTTTAAAGCATTCCCCTGATGGTGGTCCCTCCTGGAAAAGGCCTAAGGTCCAAAGCTGTGACAGCTGGCACCTACAGATTGTGGAAAATGTTCTGTGGTGAGCCAGGTTCAGTTGGAAAATAATGGCCAAGCCTCTGTACTGGTCCTTTGATTTGTCATCTCCCTAATCAACTGTAGGCCTCTGAATTGTGAGGAGCGAGGAATCCTCTTGTCCCCTCAGTACCACAAGCCAGTGCGGCCAGAGAAATGAAGATGTGGCTTTACTCATTTTTAGATGTGACCTGGGTTTGATAGGGCTCTCAGGAAAATCGGTCGGTGGTAGAACAGCATCTGGTGAAAACCCACCAGAGGAGCAGGAAGCAGGGAGAGAAGGTTGCTGCTTAGAACTTCCGGCTTCCTCTCAGGGGCAGGTCAACATTTCTAAAGGAATTTGGTTATCATTCATGGTACTTTCCTCATTAATCTTTCTTAGACATTGACAAAAGGTCAAAATCTTTCCAGAAAACACGGGTGGGTGAAAGTGCACGTGCATATGTGTGCACGCGCTCGCGCACACACACTTTACAGGGTTTTAGGGACATTTGGTGAAGAATTTCTGAGTTCTACAAGGAGGTATAAACTTTGGCTCCAAAGTGAAAGCAATAAGGGTCCAGTGACGCGGGGAAGAGTTCACCTGAAGGCCTAGCTTTACACTAGCTAGGGAGCTGGTGGTCTGATCCGAAAGGCTGATCCTGCTTCCTGTGTAGGTGCATAAAGTGTTTCATTACCACAAACCCTATGTTGGGCTCAAGAGAAGCAATCAGGAGGCAGAGCAGCTCTGGACACATTTGCCCAAAGCTTGGCCATGAGGCATGCTGTGGAATTGGAAAGAAGGGAAGAGGTTTTAGATTCTCCATTTGCTGTGGCTCAGGACTAGCTAAGCATTTTAGCATTCATTGGCTCACATCACAACATCACTGTAAACTAGGGACTATCATTCTGATTTCACTAATAAGTATGATAAAATTTAGGGAGTTGGTTAATTTGTTCAAGGTCACCCAGCTAGTTAGCAGTAGTGTAGGGATAGAAATCCAGGTCTCTCAGGTGTGAAAGCTCATCATACAAGAAGACATAACTGAAAACATTCTTCCTGGCCTCTTTCCATGGCTTCCATGACAGATCAAGAGATAAACAGGTTGTGAGATGCTACACTGATATTCTGGTCTTACTAACCATGATTCCAAGTATACTTAGTAGATTTTTCATTATCTTCCCAGCACATACCAGGTTTGTGCCAATTTTGTGCTGCAATGTAGTCTGTACCTCAAATATTTTCACAGCGTACTCAAATTTGAATTGAATTAATTCATCAGCTAATTGACATCCTGCTTCTCTTTCCAACAGAGCTTTTCAAACAGGCTTGTTTTTCCTCCTCTTCCAGGCTGGGTTTGCTTCCCATCTTGAGGAAGCCTTTCCAAATAGGGTTGATTTTCAAAACTCACTGGACCTGACATTGCCTGGCTTAGCATTCTTCATAAATTAGACATTTCAAATTATTCCTCTTGATGATATCAGTTGTAGCTAAATAAATGGGAACATTAACCCAGGAGTCAGGGAGTCCAAGGCCACAACAGCTCCTTGCCTTGTGTGGAGATAGGCTTTCCCTTTACACCAGGATCCTGCCTACCCTACTCCTCAGTCCAGCTGAGTGGGAAATCAGTGTTTGCCTTTGCTGTCTATCACAAACCACACCTACACTGCGAAAGTTATGGAAGAACAAAAAACCCACGCGACAACACTGTAGCTTTTGAAACAGGTATGAAGGCTTTCTCGTTTAATAGCAATTAAAAGAGGAAAATGTACAAGAGGAATAAACATGCTCTTTCCATAGAGGCGCTTTCCCCTAACCACGTGGCCCATTTGCATCAGTAGCTTTACCAGAAAGTTTTAAAGAAAATGTTCCCTTTAGAGTTAAAAACAGACATCACTAAAATTTCCCCATAAACGTGTAACTACTTGTGCAAAATAAAAAGGCCATTTCCAACATATCAGTGAAAAATTCATTGCAAGTGCAAGCAAACAAAGAAGAGGAAGGAAATAGAAAAAGAATGGAAAAAACAAAAGAAAAAAAAAGAAAAGAAAAGAAAGAAAAGAGGCAATTGAAGCAGTAAGACAAGTCCTTGGAGAAGGGAGACTCAGGTAGAGGAATTTCTGAAGCAGCCCCCAGAGAGTATTCACAGACCTGAGGAAGATCACTGGCCAATGCCACTCCTTCCCTGGGTCTAGGACTTGATAAGCAAGCACTTGTCAAGTATGCAGCAAAGCTAGATGACTTTGAGGGCAGGGAGACTGGTCTGGTATACAATAAAATCACCAGGAATACTCCCTATGGGCTGTACATTCCTTTTGCCAATGGTGATTTTGCTGGTTCTAATTCCAGGTCTTCTCGTTCTTCCCCACCTGCAATAATATTACCCAGTCTGCTCAAAGAGACTTTGCTATAAGTGTTAAAACTACACAAGCTGTCTGTATTACTACTGAAACCCACAGGGGGTCCCAAGCCAGAATCTCTTTAGAAACATAGATCTGGGTTTTTTAGGTACATGGACAAAGGTTCATAGTGACCAGAAGGCAGAAGGCTTAAGTTTTTGCTCTCTGGGGCACTGGGGTATATAGGTAGGCATGTGAGGCCAGATATGAGGAGTGCGAGTGTCATGAACACATATACTTCACGTAAGTCTTTTCAAGTGGTAGCTCAGCTATAGAGCTGCAGACAAAACTAAGAAACTCCCACTTCACCAATTCAAAACCCCCTAACATTGATGGTCTCTGTTTTTACCTTTCCTGGGCCACTAAGGGCATGTCTCTATATACACTCAGAAGCAGCATGTTGGTTTGCTTTGTTAGGGAGGAGTAAAGGCAGATGGAGAAGGAAGACGAGACACACCCAAGGGTCCATCCTTATGAGTCTTGTGCTTGAACAAGCTTTTCTTGTAGCAGGACTTAGTGTCAAAGTGTAATGTAGCCCCTATTTCTCCATGCTGTTCACCTTTTCCTTTATAGTACAGTTCGTCCAGGGCAGTTTTGTAAGTAGACCAGCAGCGATGACTCTAGCAGTATGAATGCAGTGCCATGCTTGAAATCCATTCCAATCCATTCAAAGTCTCAGCATACAAAGCTGAAGAGATCTTCTAATAAACTGAGTACTAGTAAAGAAGGGGAGGATATTTAGGGTTCTTCTCAAGTAATAGGACTTCAGATTAGTGTAACCATTTCTCACTTTTTGCAGCAAAGTTCAGGGCTTGGAATCTCTTGGGTCTCATTCTTATGGACCCCTGCCTTCCTTTGGCTTATCAAGTTTTTAAAACCCTAACCTTCTTTCTAAAACCCAGGGCCAACTGCCTAGCCCATAGGCTAAGTGTTACATGCTTTTGCAGAACTTGGCTGCAGCCTCGTTGTTCCAGCTTTGAAGAGCGCTACCCATAGAATGTACATTTTCTTTTCTATGGTTTTCAAGATATGATGATAATGGCAGAGGCTGGGAAATGAAAAAGGAAAAGGAAGCACTTCCCTTCTCAGATGCAACTCAATAGCTGATAAAAATTGTGCAAAATTCTGTTTGGTAAGTCTCACTTCCCACTAATCCAATCTGGAAATTCCCACATGGCCTATTGGTCATTGTATGGTGATGTACAAGTATACTATTACCAGTAGTTGTAGTAGCATCTTTGTGAAGTGTCTGAAAGTGTCAATTCCTCTAACTGATCTTAGTGCAGGCCCTTACCTCAAGGCTCCAGAGTCCATCTGTTACAATAGATACAGCCTCCTAGTTAAGTTAGTTTAGACTCCAGAGTTTGGGGGACAGGGTTACAGGTAATTATTCTCAGATGAGTCCAAAAAGTGGCTTTGGGAATGGGTCTCAAAAAAGAATGGAAGCCATGGGCTTGACAAAGAATAGCTTTGTGTCCCATATATAATCAAGTAAAAATTGCAACTGGGCCAGAGGCAACACACCTCTAGCCACAGTTGGCCCTGTCTACTGTGGCAGTGCTTTCTTCCCTAGTCCAGCCATGGCTGCCTCCATGCAGAGCAAGTGACATTTCCTTTAAAGATAGTAGCCAGAAAGTTGTTTTTAAACAGAAATGAACATTTTAAGTAATCCTTGGGTTTTATGTAAGGATAAAGGAAGGGCTACTTTTAGGCTTCTGAGATCTGACCAATCTCAATGGTATTGGCTGGAAGCAAGTTGTGACTCTTTCTGTGAGAATCTACAGAAATAACTGTTCACCTACATTTTGAACCAAGTGCTCTGACCATAATAGAAGAGAATAAGGTAAAGAGGAAAAGGACTAGGGCTCTAGTTCAAACCATTTGCTTTTTCCCGAAAAACACCCTAGGCTGAGACCCAACACTCCCAAGGTGAGAGCAGTGAATCGTGTGATCCAATGGTACTGCTGTTTATCCTGTCAATACAAAAATAAGCAGGAAAATCCCTGGGTCAGATCAGGGCTAAAAAACTACATCCTTGGGAGACTGAAGTCAAGTGGTCACCTTACCACAAGCCGTGCTTGTTTACCAGTCAATGAAAGTCAGCAGACGAGAGATGGACACTTTAACTGTCTTTAGTGCATTAAATAGTAATGTTTGATAGGCCCCTTTCCTTGCACAAGGCAGGATCAGCCTCATGTAGGTGGTAAATGGGCACTCAGGAGTAAACAGGATATATTTTATCATCCTTTTGGTTACTCATCTTACCTCCCAAAAAAAGCACCCACTTTTCTGGCTAGTTCCTGGGCTCCAGCACTAAACTGTAGAACCATGGATGAGTAGTGGTTCATCACATTTGGAATGATGATACCACTTTTTCTAGGATGATACAGTGTAGAAATAACCTTCCAAGTCCCCACCTAGCAAAATTTTATGTACTTGCTTATCCTTATGTCTCTTTTATCAGGAAAAGATTATGTGAATACTGTACAGGGTTAATAAAAAAATACATATGTTCTCTTTGAAGAAGAATGCACAAAAGCAGTGCCAGCTTGAGCTGGATCCTAGAATGTGGAGCTGCAGGAAGTAGCCACTGAAAGCTGAGGCCAGCCTTCACGAGTGGTGGCTGCTGATGAGTCCTCGAAGCTGTTTGGCCACAGTGTCAATCAACTTCTGTTTGTCTCGCTCATTTTTCCGAAACTGTGCAAACATGTTGTTCTTGCGGCTAGTATCCTTCATCCTAAACAGAGAAGGAAAGAAAGAGGGACAAGCATTTGAAGAGATGTTAAAAGAGAAACTGCAGAAAGTAGGGTGGCCTGAGTGTGGAAGAGGCCCGCCTTTCCCATTGCTAGGCCTGTACTTACCTACTGATCTGGAAGCCGCCCTTTTGTTATGCTCAGCCCTCCCAATTTCAGTCACATTTGGGACAGTCAAAAGCCAGCTTTGGAGGACCAATCTTCTTGTTCCTCTTACATCTACCCACTTCATTCATACCCTTCTCTCCCCAGGTATGCACCTGATATAGGAGTATGAGACATGATACAGCTCTGCAGGGCATTAAGCCCTTAAGCCCTTACAGAAGGTCCAGGATCCACTCATTATTCATGAATCTATTGGGACCTTACAGAGAAAATGTTCATAAAACTAGCAATTCCAAGAAAACATGAATAACTAAAAGTCACTGTGTATTTCTAACATTCATTCTAGTTGGTTCTTTTCTCCCATCCCTAAAGAAATTAGGGCTTGACTAATTAATCTCTGTTCTTTGGTCTCAGAGGAAGGCCCCGACAGGCAGTCAGGTGACTAAGCAAGTACAATGTTAAGGAAAGAAAGCACCAAAAGTAGAATATTCTCTCACTTGAGAAACCAGGGTTTCAAGCAAAAGCCCTTGAATTATAGCTGTCTATATTCTCAGACTTTTGATCTTTGGGTCAGTGAAGCTCCACAGATGACACTATTCCTAGAGTACCAATAATTGGCAGTTCTGGCCAGTGGTTCTGTGAGATGCAGAACTCTACCTGGGAAGCAAGCAACTGTCACTGTTGTGGTTTGTTTAAATGTCCCCCCAAAGGCTCATGCAGTCATGGAGGTGGCTGAATCTAATATTTGTGACTGGTTGGTTGTCTAGCACTGGGATTGCTGATGTGAGTGCTGCACCTGCCCAGGGGTGAGCAGCCAACATACAATATAAGGGAGGGAAGTTGGTTTTTCTCCATTTTGTCTTTTCACTCTTGTCACTTGTAGCTACCATGAATGGCTATCCTTTACTATGCCATTCTGTCTTGGAGCCAGCTGAATATAGACTGAAACCTCCAAAAGCTGTAAGATAAATAAACCTTTCCTTACTTCATTTTGGGCATCTGGTATTTTGTCTGAACAACGAGAGAAAAGTAACAAAGACAGTCACAGAATCTCCAAGTCTTGAACAAGGCATTTTGACAAAAATCTATAAATGTGCTTGTCTAGATCCCCCTATCATCTACTAGTGATAATTAACTCTAGTTCCAGTCTCTCCACACCAGCCTCAGCCCATGACTACTTTTAGTGTTGGAGAATTAAGGACAGTGGACAGACCAATTTCTCTGGGACAGGGCAGACTAGTCTTTACATCACTTCCTAGGAGCTGGGCCAGCTCTCTTACTTCAATGCTACCTGGGCTGCATGGAGATAGTCTGTAAGAGAGAAGGGAAGGAGGCTGACAGTGAAGTATAAATTATTCCCAGGTATACTTCCCAACTGCCTAAGTCTGGGCCTCCCCCCGCCCTCGCAGTGGGCTATGGTTTGCAAAAGGGGCAGAATAAAGGTCAGTGGGTCAAAAGTGCAGAGATTCCACAAAGGCATTTATGTCTGCTATATGTATGTACTATTATCATATATACAATAAGCATATGGTATGTCATATATTCCAGAATATATATACTTCATAAAGGTACTATATGTGGCAAAAAAAAAAAGTCCTGATGAGAACCACAGCTGTAGAACTCTTACTAATGGTGGCAGCTAAAACTAATTGAGACTTTTCTCCTTAATTTAAGCTCAAAGTAGCTCTTCGGGGTTGGAACTGCTCATTAAACACATTCAGAATCACCACCCAAATGTGGAGGTCTGTGCTTCCAGGAGGAAGGAGGGGTGACTTGGCTTGGATGAAAAAAAAGCAGACAGGTTCTCAAGGCTCTAGTGATGATGATAGTATTTCATCCCTTACATACTAGTTGTACAATTTTGTTTGTAGAACTGGTCTCATTTTAGATGATCCCAGAGAAGATTCCCCTTCTACACTGGGCTATGCTATAAATCTAAAGAACAGTAATACAAAACAAAGGAAAAAGGATGAGGAAATGAAGAAAAATTACTTTCTGTATCACTGACTTTTTGTTTAATGTCCTATGTGATCATTAATTCCGTAACTCCTTGAAGCAGCCCAGGGATAGGCAGCCAGAGCAGCCTTTGCTGTAGAAGTGAAGACCAGGGCAGACTCTACTCCAAAGGCAAAGATTTCTTGGCCATTAAAGCATGGAATTAGGCACTGCATGGGTAAACCTACATGCCCTGCAATAGTGACATGCAGGTTTGTACTCAGTAATATTCCCAAGCCAAAACTCTCCATTTCCCAGCCCATTCTGTAAGCCTGATATCCTCTTATATTGTAGCTATGATCATTTATCGATGAGGTCTCTCTCTCTCTCTCTCTTTTTTTTTTCCTGAATGTCTTCAGCAGGTATTTGAGTTTTTCTATTTCTCATCCTGCTAAGAAGGGCCAGACAGAAGAGACAGTCAAGCTCAGTGAAGCTAGCTGTGGGCAAGCAGGAATGGATCAGGTAAAGGAATTGATTCCTAGGAGTCTGGAAGATGTGTATTTTAAGTGATCTGAGTAGCCTTTTCCTTATGGTGTTTGGAAGGAAGCTTTTAAAACTCTGTTGATTGCTAGGACTAGGACATAGCTGTATTATTGGTTAGGCCTTCAGAATGGTAAACAGAGGCTGATTATTTTAGCCCATTGCTGATCTATAGGAAGTGGATGAGCCTGTACATTCTGGATTTACAGATTCTCAGGAACAGAGGAGTAAATGGCTCCTTAGAGAAGTAACTGACCTGAGGGAATCTCAGAACCCATTTAGATACATAATGTAACCATTTCAGAACCAACTCAAAAGTCAAAATGTTTCCTTATTTCTGGCATCAGGCCTTACCTGTAAAGAGAATTTTCCCTTGGAGACTCAGGTGTCAGATCTTAAAGCCATGGGCCTTACCACTAGGAGGTAGGGAAAGTGCTTAGGAGTTCTTTTTGTCAGAGCTGAAGTTTAGGCTCTGTACTGGTAAAAGCACCAAGTGTGCCAGAAAGCAGAGTGGGAACAATCCTTTAGTGGGCACTTGGGGAAAAAAATCCCTGCTACTCCCACCCCAAAGGAATTGGTAAGCCAAGGGCCACTCTGAGGACCAAGCATGGGGTGGTAGCCAGCCAGTTGGCACCTGGCTGGTTTAGTAGATTAGTATGTCAGGGTGGGGGGAAATTTACAGGGTAAGGATTTTAGTGTAATTATTAGTGTCAATGAGGAAACCAGTAGGACTTGCCTCAGAGGGTGGAAAAGGCCCAAGTGAATAATATACTTACTCTCTAGATATCCTAGGGAGGAAGGTCAGTGGGAGAGAGAACGATGGGAAACAAAGTTAAAATGGAAACATCATTCCTGACACCATGTCAGTCTCTTGCTTCTAAACACTTAGTGCTGCATCCTGCTCTTGCCTTCCCTCCATTTTCTTCCTTTCTCTCCCTGTATCACTGCACACAGTATGAAAGATTTACACTTTGATTTCCTCTTCTTCAGGCTCTGCTCTAACCTCCTTACTCTGGGCTTTGCCTTCCTAGGATTTGAGATAAGCTTGACTGGTCATATATGTAGACTTTCTGCACTCCCTAAATGCAGGGTGCTTTTCTGATCAGTCATTACAATTCTAAGAGAAAGCTGCCTTTTTACATGAGTCATGATCTTTCGTATGCCAGCTCTTGCTAGGTGAGCAAAAGCCAGAGATAGGCCACAATGCATGCAGATGCTGGCTTCTGGGTGATGTATTAGTTAGCTCTGGGGTGTTCTGGATCTGGTTAACCCAATTCAAGAGGTAGTACTTGCTTCAGAGAGACTACAGCTTTTGGCAGAACAACTTTTACTGGCTGTTGAGCTTTCTTGGGGAAGTAAGCATAATAAAACTCACTCTGGCCAAAGTTCAGAGCAGATGAAAGTTTCAGTAATTACTAGGACTTCTGTGGTAAGAATCAGACAAACCACCTGCTCTGCAGGGATGCTTTAGCTATCAACATAGCCCAGGTATCTGTGACCATTTGCACTGTGCTCACCAGATGAGCTGGAATCCTAAACTAAACTAAGCCAGTTTTCTTTCATCTCTTATTTGCTTTAAAGACACTTTGCCCCATTAGGCTGATGGTATCATTGTCAGAGTCTGGTACTGTCATCGAGTCTAGTAGTACTGTTAGAGGTCTCTGTATTTGGGCTCACTTGTTGGGCTCCAGAATTAAGAAGCTATAAGAAGAAGGCTGGCCTGCCACATACACTGATTGAGATGGCTGATAGTACCTATGAGCACTTCAAGAACAAGGAAGCTTTTCAAGGTTGATACCAGGAAAATTACCCTGACAACATCCCCTTATCCCAATTCCCCCTCTTCCCAGTATAGGCCACTGGGCTGGGTACTCACTTCTCAAGCAGCGTCAGAGCTGTTACAGGGTTTACCCGTAGGTACTTGCAGTTGGGCTGGCCATAATCAGCAAGGTAGGTGGACCAGTCCCACTGGATGAAGAGATCCAAAAGCTGAAAAACATCCAAATCCCACATCAGGGATTAATCAGGGATAAGACAAACCAGGATGCCCAGAAAATACATTTGAACAAGTACAAGAGAAAAGTGACTACAGACTATGGGACAACTAAAACATAATGAGGAAACATTAGAAAATGGTTGCTGCCATAGCACAGTGACATCACTAAGAGTAAACGTCAGTAGTAAGCCTGCAGAAGCAGGCCTGTAAAGGCTGGAGTGATCTAAAACACAAGATTCATGGTAACCATTTATAATTTATTTAATAAATACTCATCTAATGCCTTCCACATGCCAAGCACCATTCTAGAGGACCAGCATCAAGCAATTTATGAATAAAAGTGGATGTAGCCCAGTGCTATAGCAAACTTTTAACCTCTGATTATTAAAATTGATACTATGCATATTCAATTCTGTAGACTGACCCAAGTCCTTTATAGCCTTTCTGTTATTGATTCATTACATGACACAGCTTAGGATCCATAATTATACTTTGTTGTCATGTGTCTTTAGTCTTAGTCTCCTTTAGTCTGGAATATTCTCACTGCCTTTTCCTTTCTTATATGATATTGATATTTTTTGAAGAATATAACCCCCCTGCCTCCATTTTTTTTCTCGACTTGGTTTTGTCTGACATGTTCTCGTAAGATTAAAGACATGCATTCCTGAACAGAATACTATGTAAGCAATGCCATGTACTCCTCAGGATAACACATCTGAGGGCATGTAGTATTCGTCTGTCCCTTGCTGGTGGTAATTTTATCACCTGGTCAAGATGTTGTCTGATTTCTTCACTGTCTAGTTATGCTTCCCACTGCAACTAATAAACAGTTTGGAAGACTATTTAAAACCACAAAAATACAGTACTCCTGATTAAAACTTATATTTAGCAGTGAAGATTCTTGCCTGATCCAATATTAACCATGTTAGTTGCAAACTCATGCTATTTCAACACAATCCTCTTCATGTTTATCACTTGTCACTCATTATACTGTGAGGAACTGCTCTTTCTTCTCCTCTTACTAGTATATTTATCAAATGATTATTGATATGGATTAATGGTATCCTGCTTTTCAATGGCTTATATTCATTGCTATGTCTATTGTTTTGGTACTGAAATCATCTCAGATTTGGCAAATGTGAGTCCCTCCACACAGAAGCATAGCTTTCTGTGACAAACCTCCTTTTTTTTTTTTTTTTTTTTTTTTTTCCAGTACTTTCTGGCATTCTACGAAGTTACAGGCTCATGTTGCATCTCTCCTCCCCATCTCTGCAATCATTCTTTTCTCTGAGGAAACTTTTAGTAGGAATGTTATTGGAGATCAAGATTTGGGTTATTTACCAGAGTGCCTTTGTTCACTGCTCTTGAGGAGAAATTAGCAGAGTTGAGAATAATGTGCATGTAAATATACAAACGTACACAAACACATTTTAGAAATTATAACGCCATATCAATATCCTCGGTTCTAATTCATTCACTCTTTTTTTTTGGTCTTCCTCAGTGAGAATCCTAGTGTTCAATTCATCATTTCATTTGTTCAATCCTAGAATATAGCTACATGGTTTCTGAATTGTTTGTACCTGGCACTAAAAAATGCTACTAAAAATAAGTTCAAGATTTGTTTGCAGTTCTTACTCCCATGTGAAGACAAAATGTATAATATCAAATAATGTGTTTATAAGCCTTTTTTCTCCTCTTTTAGTGTAGTTACAATATTCATCTAAATGCAATTAAGATCTTTCTTTTTCATTTGTTTTTAGTTTGAGGCCTATCCTAATTTTTTGAGTATGTAGGGCATTAACATGCTTCCTAAAGTCAAAACTGTACAAAAAGATTAACGTGGAGAAGTATCATTCCTTCCTTTACCATACTCCTCTCACCTCAATCTCCTTTGTTCTATAAGTCACCAACTTTCCTGTTTTTAGTTTGTTCTTCCTATGTTGCTATTTGTAAAGATAAAGCACACACACACACACACACACACACACACACACATATTCTTTCTTATCTCTCCTTTTATTCTTTTACAGAAATTAACATACTATATGTCCACTTCAGCATCTTGTATCTTGATAAGTAAGTGGTGAACAAACAGATTAGAAGTGGGGGACAGAACCAAAGATCATTATTTCCCAAATTTTATTATGAAGCATCATTTTCACAATTGTTATCATACCTTCATGGCACATGTATTACTAATTATGTCATAATTTTTATTTTTACTATCTATTCTTTAATTTTAAGAAAAACTTGAAAGAACACTTTATATCACTATCATAAATGGAAAACCACTGTATTTGCTATAAACAGAAGATAAATACTAGCCCCACAGTAAGACAGTCTCCTCACCACTAAAAAGCCTAAAAAGGAGTAGCTTTCTCATGTGATTTAGTGTTTAAGGCACATCTGGAGACTGTCTAAATGTATCCTGAGTATCTCTTTTATGGCCATGTGTACCTTCGGTATTCTACTCAACCTATATTTTAGGATTAGTTTGAGACTTCAGCAAAGAGTTGAACAGAGTTAAGTGGCCTATGGACAAAGTAGTACTTAAAACAGTTTTAGTCAAGCATCAGCCTCATCAGAGAGAAGCAGTGCACACTGGGAAACTGTGCCCTGGGCTAGCCAAGAAGGTCCATAGCTAAAAGATTGGTTAGAGCACGTAAGACTGATGAGTGTGCATGGGGTGGACAACTTGCTAACACAACCACAAGGACAGTTCATTAAAGAAAGCCGCTCCTTATATCCTTATTCTTCTCATGACCAGGTTTCTTCCAGCTCTTAGATTTCTTGAAAATTGATTTTTGATGACTTTTTACCTGTTTGTAAAATCATTGCTAAAATAATTGTTTCTCCATGTAATGGCTTCTGACAGAATTTGCAAACCATGCTTTATGTCTGCAATATATGCTGTTTATATTTTATAAAAGTTGCACGAAATGATAACTTGAAGTTTAAAAAGTTCAAGTGAAGAAACCTAAAGTCCACTGTTACAGAATCTGAAATACAAATAATAAAACAGATTTGGTTGTCTCAGATTTCCCTAAGGAAAATAAAAATCCACTGAATTCAGCAAACACTTTTAAAGTGTGTAATATGTGCAAGAACTGAGCTGGACCTCTCAAGTAATATCAAAATGAGTGGTTTCCTATCACATAGGAAAAAAAAGAAAAACATAAATAACTTCAATCAAAGCCAAATTAGTTCCATGCTATTAAATGACATGCTAGCTGTTCATTTTTTTGAATCACCAACTGAGTTTTGCAGTTTTTTATTTTTAATAAAATTTAAACAGCACACACACACACACATGCATGTACTTTAAATTTATTCCGGTTATCAGTGTCTCAAGGACTGAAATCATCTCAGCAATATCAAACAATCAGTCTTATATCTTTGTCATAGAGTTCAATGCAGAAAATTTACCTACATTTTGGTAGCATCAGTAGATTGTTTTCTTAGCTTTTTATTTTTATATTTTTGCTGCTGGGGATCAAACTCACAACCTTGCACCTATCAGGCAGGCGCTTATGCCAATCAGCTAAATCCCTTGCCAAAAAGCTTTTTATTTTGGAATAACTTTAGATTTATATAAATGTTGCAAGAATAGTTTCCATAGTTCCTCTATACCTACTAATTATCTTCTTTAATGTTTAGGTCTTACATTACCATAGTGAAATTTCTCACTTACAACTTGATTTCAATTTCTTTTCTTTTTTCCTGAGTAGCACTTTTTAAAATTAAGTTTATTGGGACAATTTAGATGCATATAATAACTACGTTAATTGTGGGGAATTTATTTCTGTACATGATATATCTTGATTCTTCTTTCCCCCCTTTCTCTCTTCTCCTTTCAACACCTCCTCCCTCTTCCTATTTACAAAGCTTTGTTTCCATTTTATCCTTCTTTTCTTATTTCTTTCTTTTCTTTCCTTCCTTTCTGTTTTTCTAGTTCCCTTTTCCTTTTGATCAATTTCTTCCTATTTCACAATTTCTATTATACATTCTGGTTCTTATTTATACTTTCTGTTTCTTACACCTGAGACTTTATTTCGGTTTCACCAGATTTTCTACTAATGTCCTCTTCCTGTTCTGGAATCTGATAGAATGTTCCATATTGCATTTGGTCAGCATGCCTTCTCAGTGTCTTCCAACCTGTTAGTTTTTTCAGTCTTATCTTTCAAAATCTTAAGCTTATATGTAGACATTTATTTTGTATAATTTCCCTCACTTTGGGCTTGCCTACTATTTTCTCATGATTAGATTAAGGCAGAATTTCCCATCCAGAAAAAGGTTTTTGCTTCCCAAGGTACACGTAGAGTATCTGGAGACATTTCTCATTGTCACAAGACTAGGGTCATAACAGTGGTGCTGGTACTGGTGCCCAGTGGGTTGAGTCATGAATTCCATCAGACATTGTATAGTGCAAAAGGCAATGCTCACAACAAAGAACCACCTGACCCAAAACATCAACATTTCCAAGGTTAAGAGACTCTGGATTGGCTGGGCATTGTGGCACACATCTGTTATCCTAGCACTCAGGAGGCTGAGGCAGGAGGATAGCTGTGAGTTTCAGGCCATAGCAACTTCAAGGCCAGCCTGAACTATGTAGTGAGGCTCTGCCTCCAAAAACAAACAAACAAACAAACAAACAACAAAAGACTCTTCTGGATTGGAGTTATGCATTCCCACCCCAAAATACCACAGAAGTCATACAATGCTCTTTTTAAGACATCAACCCAGGCAGTACAGTACGAGATGTTAGTGTATCTCATTATTAGTGATATTATACACAAATTTGTGAAGCATTCTATATTGTGCTCACTTTAGCAGCACATATACTGAAGTTAGAATGATACAGAGAAGAGCATGGCCCTGTGCAAGGACAACACAAGATATTAACCTCCATCACGTGTTTCAATTAGAACTGATGGGTTTCTGCACAGTAAAGGTACTACTCCCACCTCCTTCTCTCTCTCTCTCTCTCTCTCTC